GAAATCAATTGTGCCCGTGTGCGTATGTGTTGTGTATAAAACACGCGTTTCTTCTTCTTATTCTATACATCCGAGAGCGCGATAACCCTAGCCTCGTGAATTTGTGTCTCCTCGTCGCGAGATACAATGTAAATATACATATATATACATATATACGCAAGTATCGGGCAGTCGCTCACCGCGTGAGGTTCGCACGAATCGTACATGTATTATAATAATATGCGTGCCGTCATTCGCTCTCGCGAGCGAACCATTTGCAAAGTATGCTTTTATTACCGAGGACGCTTTGCTAACGCTTGGAGTTATTATAGCTGGCTTCTGTACGTGTATCCCGGAACTCGAGCGGTTTTTTTTTTTTTTCTTGTTTTTTTTTTCATCAAGCGCCAATAGCGGTAAGTGTAAACTCGGGGTCAATCGCGGTTTGTTGATCACAAACTGTTTATTTGGGATGCCGTTTCATTGAATGGAAAACAAAAGCTCGTACGTAGTATTCGAGAATGGGTTTTTAATTTGTTTTCTTTTTTTTTATGATTTTAATTCGATGTGAGGTCATTGGACAAAGTGTTTCGTGGGACGCATCGCTGGAAATCCAACAAAAAGTGTATACACAAACAATGATCGACGGACCACTTAAAACTGCATATTTGTGTTAATGATTGATTAATTTTAACGATTATCGGTGAAACGTCACGTTTTTCAACTCCACCATTTTTTTTTTTTTCTCAAACATGTTTAACATTACTTACGCGTGAATGGATTTTCCCGATTTCTGGAAATAATCATAATAATACATTTTTTCATCAAGTACAACGTTTTGTGCTTACTTATCCAAAGTATATGTAGGTGAAGTATATTGAAAAGACTTGCACCTATTATATGGTCATGATCGTTCTTTAGATCCATGAAACAACCAATTAACAGTCGATAAAAATTTAAAGGACTATGTTTAATCGTTATAAAATTTCATCAACGAAATGCATATGTTAGCAAAGTATTTTTTTAGCATTGAAACAAAAATTTTTCTCTACAATTCAGTGCGACAACTGCCAACGATGTTAGGCTCGTTTCCGTCCATAATAAGCGTAAAGGACACTATAACGTGTCGGTGCGAGAAAGCCATGACGCACGCCGTCCGTGCACCTAAAAATCGTAAATATATTATATAAGCACTCGACCCTCTTCTCCTCCCTTGCCTTTCACGTCTCCATTCGCGATTCAATCGCACGATAATTGCCAATTACTAGTACTCCCACCACTTTTACTGCCTTCCTCCATTTACCTAACGATCCCGCGCCGTTGTTGCCGCAGCCAGCAATTAACGCCACGTTTTCCTCACACATTGGAAAATCACAATTCAGGTAAATTACAGTATTAAAAAAGGAGGCGTGTTGTCTCTTTGACCCGAGTAAGAGTTTATTTCAAGACACTCGCGGCGGCGCATCCGAGTTTCGCCGGCGTCGTCGCCTCCCTTCGTATAACAAGGCTCGACGACAGCGAAAGAGAGAGAGAGAGGGAGGGAGAAAAAAAGAAAATTGCACTTGGCGGGCGCTGGGAGGGAAAAGAAGAGGCTCTCATCGATTCCCTTGGGGAGGCCGAAAACGAAACAGCGTGGCTTGCAACTTATAAATATGGGTCAGGCACCGTGGTCGAGGGGCACGAAGGAGGAGGGCGTTTAAAAAGTTGCGGAGGAGGGCGAGGGGGGCACAACAGGGTAGGCAGAGAGAACAAAAAAAAAGTTGCTCGGGGCGGAGGGGTTGGGTGTATAGTCGCGACCCAGATACGACGAGTTGGCCCCGTAACGCGCTGATCCGTCTCTTTTTCTCCCTCCAATGACTTGTATACTTCACACCCCCTCGTCAACGCGGCAAGACGCTTGCTGCTGCAGGATATTTACGGGGCGTCGGGCTGTTGTCGCCAGACCGATGCGCTGGATGATTTATCTCCTTTTCTCTCTTCCACATTGGAAAACTAATCCGTTCGATGGTCTTGTCTGCTTTTCTCTTTGGACCAGTCAATTGTATATTACCCTATGGATTTACCCGGAAACAGTAATTTAAGATAATGCTCGCACTTGGTGTAGGCGCAAAAACATTTGTTGTGTACCTAACGCCACTGGGAGGAATATTTATAAGGTAAAGATCACGATATGCGAGGCGAAGCTGAGGGAGCTCGAGTTCCTCTTGACGGTTCTTCCCATTGATTGTTATTTCGGTTTTTCCCACCACCGCAATTAGCTAGAGTAATGCGGACGATATTATGATACGCGCCAACGAAACGACGATACGTGACTCGTGGGAGGGATGAAGAGGGTGTACCTTTATCTTTTAACCGACGAGGGGGGAGATTTGTTGCTTTGGCGTTCGGATTCTTTTCACTTCGTTCCACCTCTCTTTCTCTTGCGGTTGTTACGACCACGTCAAATCGACCGTGTCAAGGGATGAAGGAAGAAAGGGACCAGTCATTTTTCAAGAGAAAACGATGTTGTTGCGCAACTGCGTCGGTTCTCGCTACACCTTGATTTTTTTTCTTTTTTTCTTTCTTTTTTTGTGCAAAAGCATCCGAGACAGATATTTGCAGCGTAACACAGGTGCGCATGTGATTTATCGCAATCGATACTCCAACATCGACGTATTTTATCTGACCCAATTGACACAGTTGTTGATTTCGAGGCGCACGATCTAATACTGATTTTTTTCACAAACACACGTACACACTTATGTACGACAAATCGAGAAATGATGTAAAATGATTATCAAGCCTCCGTAGTTTTCAGTTAAGTTTACACGAAAATACGTCATTGACTGTACTAAGTTTAGATAGCGATCCAGCAAAACGTAGGAATAAATACAAGTACCGCGAATGAAGAAAAAAAAAAAAATAGTGTAACTATCTCGAATTTTCTTCGATCGATCCAAGATCCCAAGTGTCAAGGAGGATCAGTTGGAATTCAATTGATTCAAGGCACTCGCGTATTTTTTCCTCGATTATTTTTTTATTTTTCTTAGCTCAATGTACAATACTCGAACCAGGAGAATCCCATTGTCCTGGAACACATTCAATTTAACCACGCGGTATACGGAGGCACAAATATAATTGTCCCATAAATTATTCCAAAGTTTGCATATAAACACATATATAACGTGCACACACTTTGGGTTTAATATATTTAGCCATCGGATGCACGGAGATGCTGAAGCAACTGCGAAACTACAGCCATTTCTCATATGTGCGTGCGTGTATACGTATAATATGCATATTACGTGACCGCAAGTGTGGGTGCGTAAGTATATAGGTATGTACATATACATGTACAGAACGGTACAGTAATCTTCATCAGGACTGCCCCATTGTGATTTCCATTGTACGAGTTCCTCTCTCACTCTCTCTTTCCCTGAACAACATTCATCCCATCTCATCCCATCGGCCCCTGCCCTGCACCGTGTATTAAAGCCACGCTCACGTGTAAGAGCATCGCATGCGTGTGTGCAGGAAATGACCTAGTGGCCCATTTTCCATGCCACTTGTGCAGCTCGACCCCTTCCCGTATACTTATATACACGTGATGTGCTTTGGCTGCTCTCCTCTTTTCTCTCCCCACGTATATATACGTATGTGCACACTGGTATACGGTAGCTCGCCTCTGCTTGCTCTCCAGACCAAGTTCAAAGGGTACGTAACAGGGCAAAGAGGGGGGGAGGGGGTCTCGCAGTGCCGAGTTTCACATGGGGTGTGGAGTCATGCGCGAAACTGTTATCCGCCCTCCTGCCACGTGTGTGTGTGTGTGTGTATGTGCGTGTCATGCGAAGGGTGGAAAAAAGAGAGGAAGGCATGTTAAATTTAACCTCCCCGCCCCGCCATTCATTATTCGATCACTGGCGCCGTTGGAAAGTCATCAACCGGACTTTTGGGTTTTCAGTAAAGAAAAAAAAAAAAAAAAAAAAAAAAAAAAAAAAAAAAAAAAGATGCATGACGTATGAATTCAAAGACTGTTTCGCGTCATTTATGGACGGCCATGTAGCCTTTTTACCAGCACATGCATAAAATGTATCTTACGTATACCTATATGTTGGCAAAGATGCGGGGCTCGATAAGCCGAGTATCGTTGAATCACGAGTCTGGCTGTACACGGCCACACGGTTCGTGGAGCAAAAAAAAAATAGCATTTGAAACAATGTCAAAGACGTTATTAAGAAAAAAAAAAATTTATATGTATATAACTTAAGTTTACGAAAACCCATGGTAAAATATCGAGGTTATTAATTATTGAGAGTTAACGTGTTGAATCAAAGCTCGCGTTTCCCATGATCAATAAGGAATCTGAACCTACAGGGTTTTGTGGCAATTGAAAAAAAAAAGTGTACCAATGGTGTGCACAATCGGTGGCTTCAAATTGCAACGAGTATAAAACTCGACACGGCTGTTGCACGTACGGCTACGTATACATCGAAATCCGAGTCATCCTCGAGTATTCAAATGAGCAGGTTATCTCTCTTTTCTTTTTTCATTTGAAATGATGTTTTATTTGTTTTTCCTCAAAAGTACAACTGCGAGCTTCGCAATGGTTTTAAAAAGACGAGACGTTTCGTAAAGGAGCGCAGGCATGAATGTGACCAAGTGCGTATTGTTATTGTAATGCGACTTTTTGGTACTTACACTTCGAGCCCGTCGCTTCTTTTTGACACGATATTGTACACCCAAGTGTTGTTAAATTTCTAACGCGTCGAGAAAAAAAAAAAAAAAAAAAAAACGAACCATCACTCCCGGGGCAAAAAATCTCATCGCAGAAGCCAACCAAGTGCTCATATACATAACCACACACGAGATAATTCAATTACGTAATGACGTGTATTTATACGCTAGTCCCTCGCTTGTTCTTTGCGCCATTCACTTTATTTTTGAAATTTTAAGAGATAAAGTTAAAAATTGCATTCCCACATTCCCTCGTCATATTTATGAATACACGTTACTAATCGCAAAATCATTTTTTTCTTCTGTTTCAGCTGGTAAGTCGAGGAAACTGTTACACATCACCTGGTCGCTAAAATTACCGGTCACGTAAGTCGACATGCAATTCAATGACAAAGTGATCCTATGTAAAAAAAAAGCAAAAAATCTCACACCTGAACCCCCGAACCAACTCCTAGCTAGTATATATGAATGGAAACAATGGCCAACGAAAAACAAAACAAAACGAAAAAAAAAAAATTTGCAAAAGTCCCGCACGCGCGCATCGATCTTCGCGTCCTTGACGTTTTGCCGCCACATTTTACCGCTTCGCAAATACTTATGTACACACGCACGCTCTGCACACAAACCGCGTGACCACGGAATAAATCTCCCGGCTGCGATTTCGACACTCCGTGACGTGCCTCGTCTCTGTCTTCCCTCACTTCGGTTTCTTGTCCTTCTTTTTGGCGGGCGTCGAGAAATTTCTGCGTACACCTTATATATATACCTAAGTACTTGCGTATGTATACATACGTGCAGTGACGAATCGAGTGTTACGGGAGGAAAAAAAAACGGCACACTCGAGCACTCGTTTTTCGTTTTTCAAAAGAGACTATACAACGGCGGATGGCTAGATTGCGACGTCACGGAAGTTGCGAAAACCAAACCAGAGGCTCACCAATTTTAACACGGCAAATGACAGCTCGGACTTTATTTGTTGTTTTTATTTATTTACAAACGCTTTCATTGTCCTAAGAAACAATTATCATCATTGCTATTGTTTGTTCGTGGTAACGCAGAGATGAAACAGTAGCCACGTAAGGCCGTGCGCGTAATTGTTTTGCTCTTCGCTATAAATACCCCACCGAGCCTCCAGCGGCAATCGCTTGTGAAAAAAAAAAAAAAAAAAAAAAAAAAAAAAGGAGCTCGTCAAGAAAAGTTTTCATTTGATCGATCTAATGGGTTCCCCTATGCGAATAAAATAATCCTCCAGTGCAGGAACCATTCACGCTCCGATGCCCGAATTTCTCCCTCCCCCTCGACCCGCGGCTTCGATTTTCTATACGAAGCTCTAAATTTAACGCGAGCTTAAAAATACCGAGCCTCGTATCATCCTATCGTCCCTCCGTATGTATATACGCAATAAGCGAAACGCCAACGGTGCTATTGTACATGCATACCTGTACCCCCTTCCACCCCCCGGATGATCAATCGGCAGACGCAGCAGTCGCCACGACGACGATAATACATTATAATACACATACACACACACACACACACACACACATGTAGCAACGTGACCTCGATTCTGGCGCTCTACAAGTCGGCTTATCGCTCCGTACTCTCAACGAGTGTGGGAATTATACATGTCATGTACAGGGAATCGAAACGAAAAAAAGTTATCGGCTTTTTCTCTTAAAACTTATCACGCCCGTTGATTACGCATATTAATATTCTGCACGAGGAACGAGAACAAAAAAAAAAAAATGGAAGGGTTCGCCGAGGGTGCATTTTATCGATGCGGTCCTATACATACTTATTTGCATCCTACTCTGCTATACAACGTATTATTATACTCGTATATGTTCCATTCAAACGATCGTGTATACAACGTCTACGAGCGTCCGCATCGATTTAATAATCAAGAGACCTATTTTCCCTGTACCCATACACCGACTCTCTATTTTTAAATCCCCCCTCGCCCACCGCTACCGCAGGGTTACATAAGAAGGCGGTGCAGGTTAAATTTTTCCCCACCGCGAAATAATCGGATCGGAAATCTATTTCGTTTCGTTAAACATTCACGGCGTACAGTGGCGGCACACACGAGCATCGATTTTCCTCCCCTGATGCGGAACAACAACCCACGAGAGGGGCTCGTTCCCCCCAAAGCTCCGCACGTCGGATTGAAAGTCAACTTGACCTTCGTTTGATCCCGAGCTTCGTCCGTTCGTATACATACACGTTGTACACGTGCTGATGGTTCCATCGTGGGGGGCAAGGGGGGTCCGTCCAATAGGGCAAAAATATTATTTACTCGATCGCCCGTCGATGTAGGGAAAAGAGGACCCCCACGCCCCCCCCGTAATTTTTTCGAAAATGAAATATATAAAAAGTGTGACGTCGCGGAGCTTCGTCGGTCCCGACCACAGACCCCCCCCCCCCCCCGTTATATGGTATCGATCTTTTCTTTCCCCGAGAGCCGGCGAGCTTTCCCTTCCCCTCCACCGCGTTGGCCTAGTTTAGAAATAGCTGTGCTCCCGCTGCCGCGAATCCGAGCTTGCACTTTTGCACGTATACCTGTACACACATACGTGCACAATATAATGTCTACCCATGTGGGCCGAAGAAAGTCGAGCGCGTATGTGTATGAGACAAGACTTACTTTAACTTGCGACTTTGTACTCACGCTGTACTACGTGTCTGCGGAAGGGGAGGGAGATCGATTCGCGAATCACGTGTGTATGTAAAGTACTAGAGTACACCTATATACCATAAGGGTGTATAAGCCATTGGCTGTCTCCGTTACGTGGGGATCGATGTGGGGTGCTTCGACTCTTTCCCGTCGTCTTGGTGATACGGTATACTGGTGCCTGTATATAACGTTTTTCTTTCTTTTTTCCGTAGCCTTGCGATTGTTGATTAACGGTACCGAGCGATTCTCGATGAAAAAAATACAATAATAATATTAAGTAGCAGTCATGATGATGTACAGGTACCATCTCAATTTGTGAGAGAGGTGCGTTAATTTTATCTCGCGACGGGCGTCTAAAACAAAATATTCTTCTCGCACGGTTTTCCCCAAAAGAAAAAAAAAAAAAAAAAAAACCCAGTTCATGAATGGTTGCCTAAAAATAGCAGCCGGGTTAATTATACGGCTAGATCGCGCGGTCGAAAAATATACCAATGAACGGGAAAACAACTCGGTTGACGGACTACTGCTCGGATGAGCGTCTAAAAATACACCCCTGTTTTTTCACGCAGAATCCATCAAAACAACGCATCGACCCCCTCCCAACGAAAACGATATTTGTGAATGAGACAATCAACTTTTCTTATGTAACTCCGCCCGGGCGACACGGCGCGTAAACATTTTTTCGGAAAAAGCTCCCGTTGACCTTGTGTCCAAACTGCTTTCCTACCTACACGTTTTTCCAGACCCGCGGTACAAACAGAGGAGGATACGGAAAAAGTTGAAGTAAATCCCACGCCAACTAACGGAAGATTTATTGCAATATGATTAAACTATTTGATTACCCGATTGGTTCTTCAAGCGGACAAAATTTTTTACCGATTTTCTTTTTCGTTCGCCAAAAAAATGAAAAGAAACTACACAAGATTACTTACCATGTAACACATGCGTCGGCCTCGAGTGATGCAATGAATTTCCGTAGTTTTCGGTTTTTCTACCTCCACATGACGCGAACGCGAGCGCACATGTAGAGAGAAAAAAAAAAAACATTTTTTTCCGCATTGCGTAACATATACACGTGTGATCTCTGCTCCAGAGCTTTTGCTACCGTGTGTAAAAAGAGGGCCGATACCCTGTTTTGAGCGAGCAAGAGAAATCTAGACTCTCGGCGAAAGGTCTTGTATACACGTATATGCTTCCTTTTATAGCGTCGCACTTTCACAGGTGCAGCATTACATAGTTTATTCCTCCGATTCTCCTAAGGATTATCGATTCGAGAAAATTTTCCTTTTTTTTTTTTTTACCGATTTCATACGCGGAAGCGATAATTGTCAGGGGTATACACCTACTAGGTCTAATCGCTCGAGGCGTCTTTTTCGGTGATGTAAGATTTGTGCTTTGTTTTTTTTTTTTTTTTTTCCGTCAATAAGCCTTTTATTTGGATGCCGCACCAGGAAACTTTATTCAGCGTAAAACTAAGCGCACCTGCGCTCCACAAGTCAATATGCGTGTTTCCTTCTTGAGAATCATGCAGTTGCGTAAAATATCGCCGTTGAAGACAACACAGTCGTAAATTTATTGCTTTGGATGATTGTTGGTTGCACGTGCGCTCGAAATGGAAACGTGAAAATCGTTATGCGCTCGTCTGTATTTTCATGTAGATTTTGTTATTTACAATCTTCGAGCTTGTCACCTAAAAAGAAAAAAAAAGACAGAGGTACAATTTCAACTACTCAGCTGATGCTCGAGTTATAAATGCTTTCAATAAACGTTGTTTTTAAAAGTACGTGCAAAAAAAAAAGTTTTTTTTTTTTTTTTTTTTTTGTTTTCATAATATTAAAATTTTATTGCGAAAAAACAAATGTACACGTGTGTGCAAATCCTCGTGTATTATCCATAAAATCAATCGTTTGCTCGTATTTTTTTTTTATCTTCTTACCGGTAAACGGATAAGACACAATATCTTCGATGTAAGTCAGAGGTTTTAACACGATTTAATGAATCCATGCAGCGAATGAATTAATCGCAAACAGTAATGTTCCAATACGATAAAAAAGAAAAAGAAAAAAAAATGCATACGTGAACAAAAGTCGTGTCGCGGATGGTACAAAGAGGCGATCGGTATCTTTGAAAATACCGATCGCGCGCACCAAACGGTGTAAAAATCGCGCGAGTAATGAACAATCCACGGGTATTAGGTAGCAACGAGAGCCGATGAGTAAAACATCCGTGTAGCCCGAGTCAGTGTCAACGACTTGACCGTACCGAAAATAAAGTTACGTGAACCCCGAGGAATGTAATCCTCGCTCGGCTGCCTTTCTCTCCTTTTTTTATCTCTCTCTCTCTCTCGGCTCGATCGGCTCTTACCGCTTGTACATACACACTCCTACCGCTCACTTATAATACTTTCGCGCACTCGCCTCATCGAGCTGCAGACACACGGATGGATACAGCACGTTTACAACGCGAAAGGAAGCGCCGATCGATCCTTACCGATTGGCTTACTATTCCTTCTCGGAACTCCTGGGTAAATTTTCGGCCAAAAGACCGGCTAAAACAAACACTTGCTTTAATAACACGTCATTGCGAGTCGATCCCTTTTTTTCCAAGCTGTTTGTACACACGGATGACGAAGCAATTGGT